TTGGGTTCTGTTCGCCTGTATGTGTTGAGGTTCCTTCTGGGACAGAGGCCGTGCAAGGACACAATATGACCTTGTTGTGCATCTCCTGCATGCAGAGAGAGGAGGTCTTCGCCATTACCAATGTTGAATGGTACTATGAACCCAAAAATGGGATTGGAAACCGATCGCTTGTATGTATTTTGTATTCTTTCTATACTTTTGTCACTTTGACCTGTGTATTTGAGATTTATGATGCTTGGTTTGAAAAGGTCTTTTCAGGTCTGTGATGTTGCATAGAGGTGTAATGCTAGGCTCTTTAGAAGTACTTTTATATGAAGTTGTGGGGAAGAATCTTAGTGCAATCCAATATTCATTAGAATATATCCATAATTTCAGAAAGAACGTTACAGAGGCACATTAGGCTGGTTTTTAAATGTGAGGAAGGAAACGTGTCTTTGTTGCTCACTCCAACCACATTAAAGGCTTATGTTGACAAGGTTTTATTTGTGTCTCTCCCAATACAAGTCAATAAGAAGCAAAAGCAGCTTAAAAACAGGTTGATGCAGGTAAGGAGGAGGTCAGATGCAAGTGAGATCATCAGTTGCAGGTGAGAAGGTGGTCAGTTGGAGGTGAGAAGGTTGCCAGTTGCAGGGGAGAAGGAGGTCAGATGCAGGGGAGAAGGAGGTCAGTTGCAGGGGAGGAGGAGGTCAGATGAAGGTGAAAAGGTCAGATGAAGGTGAAAAGGAGGTCAGATGCAAGGGAGAAGGAGGTCAGATGCAAGGGAGAAGGAGGTCAGATGCAAGGGAGGAGGTCAGATGCAGGGGAGAAGGAGGTCAGATGCAGGGGAGAAGGAGGTCAGATGCAGGGGAGAAGGAGGTCAGATGCAGGGGAGGTCAGATGCAGGGGAGGAGGAGGTCAGATGCAGGTGAAGAGAAGATCAGATGCAGGGGAGAAGGAGGTCAGTTGCAGGGGAGGTGAGATGCAAGTGAGGTCAGATGCAGGTGAGGAGGTCATCAGATCCAAGTGAGGTCAGATCCAGGGGAGGAGGAGGTCAGATGCAGGTGAGAAGGTGGTCAGATGCAGGTGAGATGCACCTTTCAGTGATCTGTGAATGATCTCAGAAGCTTCTGATCTCAAATGCAAGCAGAATGCACCTGAAAGCAAGCCGCATCTGTCCATCCACACATTTGTATTGCAGAATAGACACTGAAATCTAGTATCTCATTGGTTCTTAGGGCAAAATAAGCTCTCTTTTCTTCAGCTTTCCATACATTAGCCTTCGTTCCCAAATCAGTTTCTTAAAAAGGAAAGGTGTTGCTCTTAGCAATGTCATATTTTTCTGTTTAGAGATTATTTGGTATTACCATCTCTTTAGGTACACCTTTTTTTCTAAATAGAAATGCTCCTTGTTTGAGGGAAACAGAACTAAGTAGACGAGGATTGCATGGGCTGAAGAAAATAAACATACTGAATTTCACAGAATGTAGTGTAGAAGTTAATTAGATGGGAAATTAGCTTGTAAATAATTTGTCAAAATAAAAAAGCAAGCAAAGACCTATGTGGTGTATATGTTGATGAATATCGTTTCTCTCTACTAATAATCAAGCCTTGCCTCTCTCTAGATCTACGAATTGTTTGAAGGAAAGCACATTAAACCTAAAAGCCAGTTTAATGGTCGCCTCCAATGGATTGGGAGCAAGGATCTGCAGGATGTCTCCATCATATTACATAATGTGACAGTCACCGATTCTGGGAAGTTTGTCTGTCAGGTGAACCGTACATTGCGTTATGAGGCCCATCAGCACTCCACACAGAGCAGCTTAGAAATCAGCCTCACTGTCAATGCAGTAGGTAAGAGATGCACGAGATCCTTGTATACTGGTGTTGCCATGAAGGAGCCCTAATTCCACCTTACTTTCAGGAATCCTGCATAGTACATAGGGTCATTTTTACCTTTAGCTGACTATAATCAGCAATGTTAAATAAAAAATTACTTTTCCTTTAACCCCTTCATGATGTAGGATAACAAACATGTCTATATTTACCTGCTGTGTGCAGTGGTTTTGCACAGAGCAGCCTGGATCTTCCTCTTCTCAGGTCCCCCCGCAGGCTCTCCTGGCCCCTCCCTCCTGTAGGTTGTCCCCAGAGCAAGCAGCTTGCTATGGTGGCACCCACTGCTCCGTGTGTCCATTCACACAAGGAGCCGTGGGTTGGCCCCACCCTCTTGCTCTCTTCATTGGCTGACTGGCTGTGATTGACAGCAGTGGGAGCAAATGGCTCCCGCTTGTTGTCTCAGGCAATAAGGAGGCAGAGACCTGGGACAGTCCAGGCTGTCATGCACATCAGTGGATCTCGATGGGGCACAGGTAAGTATTGAGGGGGCTGGGGGAGCTGCTGTACACAGGTTTTTTGCCTTCATACATAGAGAATGCATGAAGGTAAAAACCTTGTGCCTTTACAACCACTTTAAGGACTAATTGGGCTTTCATTTGGCCATAAATGGTATCAATACCTCCTGATTTTATTATTATTATTATGGAAAAACGAGCACAAAATATTAAAAATATTTTTTTTCTTTTTTTGAGATTTAGTTGTATATATTTTGGGATTTCCATAACCTACCACAAAAGAACAACCCGAAATAAATTCTGCTCATAACATTTGCATTGATACCACATATGTGTATATTATTTTTTGTTTGTACCCATAGTAGGGCCTAGAAACAACACCCATTTTGCTTTTTTTATCCTACCTTAAACACTCGAGGGGTTGATTTACTAAAACTGGAGTGCAAAATCTGGTGCAGCTGTGCATAGTAGCCAGGGGCGTACTTACAAAGGTCGCAATTGCGACCCAGTCCCCATGCTGCAGGGGGACTATGCAGCCCCCTGTGCCCTTGGAAAGGAGGAGCAACAGGGGTGGCTGTAAATAGAGAAACTAATCTCTCTATGCTCCTCCTGCAGCCGCTGAATGCCTGCTTCTCCTCTCCCTTCCGCAGGCATTCAGCAACTGCAAGAGGAACACACAGATCGATTCCTCTATATGCATCTACCCCCACCTCTCCTATCCAGCTTCTCTCTGCTGCTGCCCCCCCCCATACTCCTCAGCCCCCCTACTCTCTGCCCAACCATGCTGTCAGGTCCCGCTGTGCCTCCCCCCTTCCCTATCTGCCGTGGGAGATCTGTCAGGATGGAGTGAGGAAGAGGCCGATAAATGTGTCATTTACAGGATCCATCCTTTTCTGAATGGACAGTCAGTGATCGGTACGATCACTGACTCAGTCTATTCATAACTGAGGCATAGTAAGCGGTGTTTACTATACTTCCATTTATGAATAGGCAGGAAGCTCTGTACAGAGCCATTCCTATTCATTCATTCTGGGCAGCTGAGGATGCAAAGAAGGAGATTGGGGGCTGTATCCTCAATCTCCTTTCTCTGTCCCAAAGGTGGGATATTAGAGATCTGTTTAGACTGCTGATATTTCACCAAAGCCCCCCCCCCCCAACGGAGCTCCGAAAAAAATTGTAAAACATAAATTAAAAAATTAAAACAGACCTGGATGCATGTCCTTTATGCCGATGGAACCACTAGCCACCAGGGAACCTATGTGTGAGACCTGGATATATCGGTTTATGCTGATGTGAGTTCCTTCCTTTTATCTGCTTATTTTACTTTGAAATAAACGTATTTCGCCATTGATACCTTCTTGCCTCCTGGCTCATTTTTAATGAGCTTTGCAAGGTGGTGATCTGGAATAAGGAATCATTGGATGCCTGGACAACGTTGGACCTACTGGTGAGTCTGAAAGGACCCCTAAAAAGGTGTGCACCACCATACCTGAATGCCCGCTATGGTAACCAGATACTACTCATGCTGCTGACCAGACCCTGATATCTTGATGTGACCACATGCTGCTCATGCTGCTGACCAGACCATGATGCCTTGTTGCTGAGGATTTACATACAATGCCTATACTGTATGTATTTGTGGTAAGCGCGTAACCGCACTATTTTTCCATTCTATCGAGTTGGATTTGGAACAACATAGAATCATATCCATTTGCCTTCCAGATACACCATATGAACAATTCATGTCCGATATTATTGTTACTGTATATGGTGACATTCTCTTGGTTTGATATTTACTTCTAGCGCTGCATACCCCATTTGATATATTTCACATTTAAGGTACTGAGGATTACCCTGTATGTTAGCTGCTTATCCCGCTAGTTTGCGCTCACTTACCTTACCCTTTATAGAATTTAAAAAATATTAAAAAAAAAAAAAAAAAAAGTAAAAATAAAAATAGCAAAAAAAAAAAAAAACTACGAACACCAGTGGTGGAACTACCAGGGTCACAATGGTCGCACGTTGACCAGGCTCTGGCGTTCTGCCACTGGGCTCTGAGGGAAGGAGCCTGGCTGGGGATCAAGGGGGCCCCACATGCTTTCTTCCACTGGGGCCCTGAAGGTTCTAGTTACGCTACTGATGGTAACCAATTTCTAACTTCAGCTTGTTCAGTTAAGCTTTGACAATAAAATCTGGAGGCTGATTGGTTGCTGTGTAGAGATTTTGTGCACCAGATTTGCACGCTCCAGTTTTAGTAAATCAACCCACCTGACACTGATACAAAATTGAAAAATCCTACATAAAATACACCACAACCTTTCTCCCTAACTCTGTCACTGACCTAACCTAAACTCTAATCTATCAATTTTATCTTTATTTATGTATTCATTTTTTTTTCTTACACACACTTCTTTGTTTACACTTTTCTTCTCTAGCAAGGATGAAGAGTCACAATGCATCTTTTCCACCTATCAAGAGAAGAAAATAACACAGGGTGACTTTTAGAGATAAGCGCACAGACTAGCACAAATAATCACTTTATTTAGATGTAGAAATTAAAATAATTCACTCATGTTCAAAAAGAAAAATGTACCTGTAACAGCCTCAAACATAATCCACTGGTAGCCTGGCCAGAGCTGCAGCATGTCACACAAAGCTTCTCCTCTTTCTCACAGTGCTATGCTGATAGACTACGGAAAGGAACTGCGCCTGCTCTCAGCATCAGTCTGTTGCACTTGCAGGAGCTTTCAATGTAAACTGGCCATAGTTGCTCACAAGGCACTTCCTAGATGGGCATTGCAGGTAGCCATGTGTAGAGTGGGTATAGAAAAGAATCACCCCCTTTAAAATAATCCCATTTTGTTGCTTTTCAGCCTAAAATAAAGACAGGCAGTTTTTGGTTTATCCAGTTGTATTTATTCAGTGCAACCTATAACATCCAAGTAATATATACCCAACATGTCAGGAAAAAAAATTTCAAAAACAGAATCCCCGAGTTGGAAAGATCACCCCCCCCCCCCCCAAAAAAATGACTTGTATAATCAATCAGGTGCAGTGAATCACCTTCTCAATGCCCCACAAAGCTATCTGACTTTCAGTTCTGATCAGCTGTGGTTATTTTGATTAGCTCAGCATGAAAAGAGCTTTTCTGGAGCATTTCAGTCCCTGGTACTGCAGATGAAGCAAACAATCAACTATGGGTGTCAAGGCACTTTCAAAAGATCTCCATGATAAAGTTGTGGACAGGTAAAAGTCAGGAAAAGGATAAAAAAACATTTCAAAGGCTTCATCAATGCCTAGAAGCACAGTGAAGTCTATTATTAAGAAGTTGAATGTATTTGGTACAACACACTCTCCCTGGATTGGGGAACTGGAGAAAGTACAGAGAAGGGCAACCAAACTGATACGAGGAATGGAGGAGATCAGCTATGAGGAAAGATTAGAGGAACTGAATTTATTCTCTCTTGAGAAGAGGAGATTAAGGGGGGATATGATCACCATGAATAATACATAAGGGGGGATATGATCTCCATGTATAATACATAAGGGGGGTATATGATCTCCATGTGTAATACATAAGGGGGGTATATAATCTCCATGTATAATACATAAGGGGGGGTATATAATCTCCATGTATAATACATAAGAGGGGGATATGATCTCCATGTATAATACATAAGGGGGGATATGATCACCATGTATAATACATAAGGGGGATATGATCTCCATGTATAATACATAAGGGGGGATATGATCTCCATGTATAATACATAAGGGGGGATATGATCTCCATGTATAATACATAAGGGGGGGATATGATCTCCATGTATAATACATAAGGGGGATTTGATCTCCATGTATAATACATAAGGGGGATTTGATCTCCATGTATAATACATAAGGGGGATATGATCTCCATGTATAATACATAAGGGGGGATATGATCTCCATGTATAATACATAAGGGGGGATATGATCTCCATGTATAATACATAAGGGGGATATGATCTCCATGTATAATACATAAGGGGGGATATGATCTCCATGTATAATACATAAGGGGGGATATGAGTGTGCTTTGAGTGTGGGCAGGGACACGGGCCCCATGATCCCCTATTGCCCGGGGACCCCATGAGTTGTCAGTCCGCCCCTGGTCAGATGAGGTTAAAATTGAATTATTTGGCCTCAACACTAAACAATACATCTGGCGGAAATCCAATCCAGCTCCCCATCCAAATGCCACCATTCCTACAGTACAGCAAGGAGAAAGTAATATCCTGTTATAGGGGGGTTACTCTTTTTTGTCATTTGAGATTGGCTGCATATCCTTGTGTATGGTCTGAGGGACAGCTAAAAATGATTTGACACGGACGGTGAACCAAGGATACACTGATAGCCAATCTATCACAGTGATAAGGTTTTTGGAAACCAGGCTGATTTCTGTAGCTGTCATTTCTGTCGTTTTATCAAAGATGGGAGAAGAACTTCTGACACAATGATCTATTTCTGTCATAATGGTGGTTTCCTGCAGGCTAAACCACTGTTGGCAGCAGCTGCACACACTGAATAGTCAGGTTTGTAGGAAGAGTAGGTGGCAGTGAATTCAATTATGACATTGCAGAAAGCTAATCTTCACTAACCTATCCATGGAAACAAAACCATTCAGCAAGAACTCATGCTGGGGCTTTCACGGAGAAGAGACCAACACTGAAATCAATTGTCGTTGCCTTCTCCCGCGCAACAATTTACCTTCAAGTATAACATGCTTATGCTGTTCATAGCTCTTTACGTCTCACCTGCAATACTGTATATATGATAAAATATATATTTATATATTATATATATATATATATATTTTTTAACAAAAAAATAAAGGAAAGAAAAGTGTGTGAGCTACATTCTTGCTGCTAGGCCAGGTTTGAAATAAAAAGGTTCCTAGGAAAAAATTACAGATACCCTTTTTTTTTTTTTTAATATGCTTTAGTGTTCTTTATTATCTATAAAAGGTAAAACAGTATTAAACCCTTAGAGTTTTTTTTTTTACCTTAACCCACTAAACACACAAATAACTATTTGTTAAAATTCTTACTCCACCCCTTGCAGTTTATAATTTTCAATGTGGCTGGCTCCTGCTGTCGCATTGCTGCTTCCCTGAACTTCCTGTCACTAGTGGATAGTACAATCTGGAGTCAGTCTGCTAGCTTGAATGAGAGGGTGGAGGGAACAGGGGACTGCCTTGCCATCCCAGGGCTATGTGTTTCTATTGATGCACACAGTGCAGGTAGACACAACTTGGCTCTAGCCCCTGCTTGTAGGGTGGCTCCATAGAATGCTGCACAAGAAAGGAGCCATCCAGAAACAGGAAACCTGGGGTAGTGATCATGGCACAAGCTCAAAGCGGAGCTCACTGGAGCAAAACAGCTTTGCCTGTACTTCTTTAATTAAAACATTATTTATATAATTAATTAGGAATTGAACAAGCCGCACAAACAAATCACAAGAAATTTTAAATTTCTGTTATTTTGGAACACCTTATCATCTTGACCAAAAGCACTGTAGAATGTTTGGAGACAGTCTTTCTATAGACTGCACAGAACAACCATCCAAGAACACTAACAACACATTGCAAGGATTGTTCTAATAGCATTCTGCAAAGTGGTTTCTGCCAAGTGAACCTGATAAAGATCCCAACATTAGCATAAAAGCACTGAATATTGTCCTCTAACCATTAGTAAAACATATAAATGATAATCAAGCCTGGTAAGAACATGTAAATATATGAATGTCCATTGCCAGATGAGCAGTGGACTTTTCAACAAACGCTTAAACGTGCTTAGCAATTTAGTTTGAAATACCCTTTCATCCCTGGCATTCTGACACTTGTGCATACAGAAACTCCTGAAGTAGAATATATATATATATAACATTTACAGGTAAAAATTGAGAAATCCGACTACAAAAATGTGACATCCTTATTATTTACTTGTAGGAAGTCTTATTACACATATAAAGATAGGTGATGGAGCTTTATGAGTCTACTTTGTTAGTTCTGAAAACATAATAAAAGATTAAAAACCAAACCAAAAGAACTTTATCTAAACAGACCTTGTTTCCATTCACACAGCCAGGGAAGATTTTACCTCGGTCCTCTCGGAGATCATGATGTATATCCTTCTGGCCTTTCTCACTTTGTGGCTTTTGGTAGAAATCGTTTACTGTTACAGAAAAATCTCTAAGGCTGAAGAAGTGACTCAGGAAAGTGTGTAAGTATGTTCGGTTTTTTGGGTTCAGGGACTTAAAACAGAATTAAACCCAAAAGCAAATACTTCTGATATTGCAGTTAGCCAATTCTTTAATGCGATAGCTTCATTAGTTATGTTTTTTTAGGCTCTCTTTCATTTTATCCTACCGATAAATTTGTTTTCAACAGAACAAGCTGTCCTGCATATGTAGCGGTTAAAGGGTTGAGACAAACCATTTAATACTGACGGGTGCTTACAATGATCATCTATGTTATTATGTAAGACCTTTATCCCAAATGGAACAAAACAGTTGCTGTAACAGTTCGGTGCCGTTTCAAGCACACAGTATCTGCCTCTACAATTAAGCCCAATGTGAGGGAAACATGACTGATGGGCGAGGATTTGAACTGAAGCCTGTCTTTTATTTACTTCACACCGGAGTCGAATACAGTGTGCGGCGGTACTTGTATGCTATACTGTTGCTGCAATTGCTTAAAAAGCATTAGCTGGAGTTTGGCTTGGTTAGTGTATCTAAATCTGCTAGTATATTTAACACTCCCCTCCCCCCAGACTGACAATGCTGCTGTCCAAAGGTGTCCCAGTGCTCCTTCATCCAGAGTGGGGGTGCTGTAATACAGTGCTGTAGTTGGTCAGATCTATAGTACCCACAAAAATCACTGCTATGTTGCTCCCCTTACTTAGGTAATCATGGCCATTAGTAAGCAGCCCTAAAATTATCATTTCTGTAATCTTGGACTTTCCCTAAAATGGAAGGCATTGGACACAGAACAGATAAACTCAGGGAAATGTCCTGAACTGGAGGAAATATGTTATAATAGAAATGGCATTAGCTGTGCAAATCCCTCTGTAACCAACAGATCACAGCTCTCAATGACCAAGGACATTGCTAGGCTTCAGGTCTGAAACATTACAGGTTTAAAAAGAAGCAAGATTTGGGTAATTTTCATGATTTATGTTATCCGGGACTTTGACAATCTTTCCATATAACACATTTATGTTATTTAATTTAGCAATATAGGAGCTCACCCTGAACTATGAGTCTTTATGTATTGACACTAACCTCCAAAACTTTTGCCTTAAAAGTGGAGTTCCACTCATCTGTCAAAAAAATAAAAGTCAGCAGCTACAAAAACTGTAGCTGCTGACTTTTAAAAAAACAGCCACTTACCTGTCCCTCAGTGTGTTTGTCCCGCAGCCCGTTTCACTGGCCGTCCTGGATTCCAGGAAGCAGGCATCTTCAGTGTGGGCACCCGGCTGTGACAGCTTGTGGCTTCACAGCCGGGTACCCACTGTGCATGCGCGAGTAGTGCTGCGCTTCATGAAAGGTCCCAGAAACTGCAGGACCAGTCACATGTCCCAAAAGGCTACAAGGAGGGAGGGAGGGAGGGAGGAAGGACACCTACCGCTTCTGGTCGCGTAGGCGATCGGACTGGAAGTGGGACCAGGTAACTGTCAAATTTGGGTACGCGCTACCCCCCCCACCCCCCAAAGGTGCCAATCCTTAATGGGGAGCGGGGGAGCAATCCTTAAAGTGGAACTTTCCCTTTTGGGTGGAGCTCCGCTTTAAAGTGATAGTAAAAAAAAAAGCCTTTAACCACTTGCCCTCTAGAGGATTTACCTCCCTTCCTGACCAGGCCATTTTGTGCGTTACGACGCTGCGTCACTTTAACTGATGATTGCGTGGTCATGCAACGCTGCACCAAGGTGAAATTTACGTCCTTTTTTTCCAGCTTTCTTTTGGTGGTATTTGATCACCTGTGCATTTTTTATTTTTTGCGCTATAAACAAAAAAAGGCCCACAATTTTTAGGAAAAAAAAACAATATTTTGGACTTTTTGCTATGAAAATAAAATAAAAAATAAAAAAAATAAATTTCATTTCATAAATTTAGGCCAAAAATGTCTTTGCTAGAAAAAAAAAATCCCAATAAGTGTATGTTAATTGGTTTACGTGAAAGTTATAGCATTTACAAATGGCGGTATAGATACTAGGAATTTTTTTTCCTACTAGTAATGGCGGCGATCAGTGACTTTTAACAGGACTGCGGCGGGCATTCTGACACTGGGGGGAACTGACTTGGTGTCACTAACATCCCCAGTCACACCAATACAGTGATCAGTGCTAAAAAAAACAGCACTGACACTGTACACTGACACTGGGCAGGAAGGGGTTAATGTGAGGGGCAATCAAAAGGTTAACTGTGTGCTGGGAGTGTATTACTAGGGAGCGGGGGAGGAGGGAGCTTCACACTCAGCCATCCCGAGCAGTGTGCCCGAGACCCTGACAGGGGGGGAAAACTAAATATTTAAACAACTGGTAGCCTTATACTTACCACACTATGTATAAATCCCTAGATGCAAAGACATCACTTTCCACCCAGAAAGACCAAAACAAGTCTCTCAGAGCATCCATACAGTGAAATGTCCCTATCATGTGAAGGATATTCTCTTCCTTCTTATTCAATGTTCAACCACACGTGAATCTTAATCCATCTTCTACTTGTTATGCTCAAAAAAAATTCAATAAAACACACATAGTGCATTATCCTCAGTATAAACACAGCTATACTAAGAGAAACGCACTCACAAAAATGTGTAGCAAATCCGTGCTTGGTCACTCCACCATGTGATCACTTGTGAAACACCTTTCGCAGATCCCAACAGTAGAGCTCTTCCTTATCCAAGATGGCCACTATGCAACTTCCGATGTACGTCTGACGTCACGGACGCGTTTCGTCATTTCCAACTTTGTCAAAGGCGTAGCAGATTACTAGGTGGATTGACAAACATGTTGACAAATACAGCTAGGTCCATATATATCTGGACACAGGCACAATTTTCATACTTCTGGCTCTGTATGCCACCAGAATAAATTAAAACAAAACAATCCAAATTAAAGGTGAAGTGCAGACTTTCAGCTTTGAACATAAACGGGGTTCAACATAAATATCAAGTACAAATTTTAGAAACTGCAACCATTTTTATACAAAATCCCTCCATTTTCAGGGGCTCAAATGTAATTGGACACAAATATAATCATAAATAAAATGTTCATTTGTAATATTTTGTTGAGAATCCTTTACTGGCAATGACTGCCTGAAGTCTAGAACTCATGGACATTAACAGAGACTGGGTTTCCTCCTTTCTGATGCTTTGCCAGGCTAGAACTGCAGCTGTCTTCAGTTGTTCTTTGTTTGTGGGTCTTTCTGCCTCTAGTTTTGCCTTCAGCAAGTGAAATGCATGCTCAATTGGGTTGAGATCAGGTGATTGACTCGGCCATTGCAGAATATTTCACTTATTTTCCTTCAAATGCTCCTGGGTTGCTTTTGCAGTGTGTTTTGGATCATTGTCCATTTGTACTTTGAAGCGCAGTCCAATCAACGTTGCTGCATTTGGCTAAATCTGGGCTGACAGTATATCTCTAAACACTGCAGAATTCATCTGGCTGCTTTTGGCTTCTGTCACATCATCAGTAAACACCAATGACCCAGTGCCACTGGAAGCCATGAATGCCCATGCCATCACACTGCCTAAACCATGTTTTACAGATGATGTGTACATTGGATCATGAGCTGTTCCAAACTTTCTCCACACTTTTTTCTTCCCGTCATTCTGGTACAGATTAATCTTAGTTTCACCCGTCCAAAAAATGCTTTTTCAGAACTGGTCTGGCTTTTTTAGATGTTTTTCAGCAAAGTATAATCTGGCTTTTCTATTCTTCGGGCTCAGGAATGGTTTGCACCTTGTGGTGAATCCTCTGTATTTGCTCTTGTGAAGTCTTCTCGATTGTAGACTTTGACAATTATACATCCACCTCCTGGGGAGCGTCTTTCACTTGTCTGGATGTTGTGAATGGGTTTTTCTTTACCATAGAGAGGATCCTGCGATCATCCACCACTGTTGTCTTCAGTGGACGTCCATGCCTTTTTATATTGCTGAGCTCACCAGTGCGTTCTTCTTTCCTCAGAATGTACCACATGGTTGATTTGGCCACTCCTAATGTTGCTGCGATCTCTCTGACGGATTGGTTTAATTTTTTAAGCCTTACAATGGCCTGATTCACTTGCATGGACAGCTCCTCTGAATGCATGATGTAGGTTCACAACAATAGATTCCAAATGCAAATACCACTTAGACTCAACTCCAGACCTTTTACCTGCTTAATTGATGAAGAAATAATGGAGTAGCCCACACCTGGCTATGAAACAGCTTTTGATTCAAATGACCAATTGCTTTTGGTCCCTTGACAAAAGGGGGGATGGCTACTCTTAAGAGCTGTAATTTCTAAACCCTTCCTCCAATTTGGATGCATGTACCCTCAAATTAAACCTGAGAGTGCGCACTTTCAGCCCATATCCATTATAGAACTATAGCTTGAATGTTTTGGTAAATACCTGAAAAAAAAACTAAAATTGTGCCTGTGGCCAAATATATATGGACCTAACTGTACGTATTTACTGCACTACAAGTCAATGAGCAGCACATTCCATGTTTACAGGGGTGGATGTCTGGAATTTTGGCTTGCAGAATTTTTTTCAACCTTGCATTACACTGTATGAACAAAATTACTGTGTTCTTTGCGGAGAGGTCATATACAGTATCTGTTCACTCACATTATTGTGCAAGTGACGGGCTGCACCTCCCTGATGTGCCAATCCACCTAGCCTAATTAGATCTATATGTAGAACTTTGAGACCTCCCATTTCCAACTCTCCATCAGCTGCAGTAAAAGATATCTAGGCGCAATCTCTTATCTGACATACAAGGCAGAGATGACAGGAGAAAAGGGTTAAAGCCACACTCAAAAAACCACTGCGGTAAAGATTACATTGTTGTCACTCCAGAGGATTTCCCCCCCTTCCTGACCAGGCCATCTTTTGCAATACAGCGCTGCTGTTACTTTGACAACTGCATGGTCTTGCAACGCTGCACCCAAATTAAATTTATGTCCTTTTTTCCCCCACAAATAGAGCCTTCTTTCTGTGATATTTAATCATCTGTGCAT